GTGGATGAGATCCAGATGCCAGGGTCTCCCCAGCATCCTCCCCACCCAGGCCCCCCACGTCTGCTTGGCCGCTGCGGTCCTCCCATGGCGGCAGTCAGTAGGACACCCCCGCCGGTGATGCTCCCTCCTGCCGCCCGCAGCCCCCGCGTCTCACCAGCCGCCAGGCGCAGGCCGCGGAGGCTCCCCATGGCCGCCTGCTCCGCCGACGCACAGCAGCCCTCCCTGGGCGGCCGCGGCGCTGGCGCTCAATGTCACCGAGCGCCCGCGGGGGCGGGGCGCTGACGGGGTGGGCGGGGCGAGCGCGACGCGGCGGGCGTGAGGGACGTGCGGGAAGGGTGGAGGGCCAGGCCAGGCGCCTTGCCTGCCCGGGCATGAAGACGGAGGAGAAAGGGGGATGGATGCCTGCCAACTGTGCGGTGCTGAGTAGTGTGGTTGAGGACGGTACCAGCCGAGTGACACGCGCGGAGGGGCTCGAAGCCCAGAGCCCTAGGGCGTGCTGGCCACTTAGCTATTTAAAACAAAAAAACACAAAAACGAACATGTAGTTTTCCGATGGCTTCTTCGGGGTCTCGTTCCTCCGTCACAAGCACCCCCATGCTCTAGGAGCCGAGTGGAAAGGTTTGGAGGAGGGCGAGCCCCGCCCCCCCAGCTCTTAGCTCCCGGCTCTCCCACGACTTGCTGTCAGGCAGCACCGCGGGCACCTCTGCTCCGCGGTGATTGGCCAGCGGCGGGGTCCTCGCGGTCGTCCAATATGGCGGCGCCCAGTGGCGGTGTGAACTGTGAAGAGTTCGCCGAGTTCCAGGTGATGAGGTTTTCCTCACGTGGCGAGCTGGTCCGGCCTTTTGTCCCCAGATCCTAATTCGCGCTTTGGCCTGGGAGGGAGTCTAGGCAAATTGTGGGGAAATCTGGCGGTTCCGAGCTTTTCTTTTTTAGGGGCACCTCTGGAGGTCATGGGGGCTAGGGGTGGCCTTGGAGAGCGAAGCTGCTCAGGGCAGGGAGGTGACTGAAGTCCTCCGGCTCATTCCGGAGTGTTGAAGCCGAGCTCGGAAGCCGTGGGTAGGGATTGTAACAGTTCAGCACTTCCCTGAACTTAGTGCCCAGCTTCTGCCAGTCCTCGCCCACTTCTGAGTTGAGCTTTTGTGGGAGAGGAAGAAGTGAAAGAAGCCTTGTTTAGCTGATAAACCAAAGCATTTGGCATGGTGCCCTGTTTCGGTGAGGCAGAATATTTGGAAGCTTAGAGGAAGGGTTAATTCTAATATCTGGTCTGTGCTATTACCTTCTTGATCCTGGCACTTAAGGGGAAAAAATGTATCTTTTTGTACTAAAAGAATCCAAAAATAATGATCTGGATGTTGATCAATTCGCAACGGAAGTTACCGGTGACGTGTTCTGTTATTAGAGTTGAATTTAAAAAAAAACACACACACAACCTTTAAAAGTGTATTTTTAGCTAAAGAGTGAAAATTCGTTTCACATGTCATCGTTGACTTACTTAGTTGTAATAATCTTAGTACTTTGAGTAGTTTGTAGGTAGTGGTATTCTTGAAGAAAACCTCATCAAATCAATTTATTTGACAAACAATTTTGCCAGGAGATTTAATAATTAATATCCGAGTTAAAAGTCAAAACACCTGATTCCCCAGAACGGGCCTTAGTGTGTCTTTAAACCTCCTTGTAAATAAGCATTTTTTTTTTTTTTGCACTTCTTCACCGATAGGACCAGAACATCCATGAAAATGCTATAATAATGTAAAATGTTACGACAACTTTTAATTTTAGATGAATTTGGTAAAATTGTAAGACATGGTTGACTGGAATTCTCAAATTGTTAATCAGAGTTTACATTCTTAAGAGCTGTTAGATCATTTTGTATGTAAATCTCCTAACTATGGAAAGCCCTGCACTGAATACCAGGGGAAAGAAACTGAAACTTAAGGTATTTTGTTTGTTTGTTTTATTGTAAATATTAGGTAGCATTTTACCCCATAATTACGAGGTGTTGAAAGAATTGTACTGTGAATGCTCTTGTAGCCATTGTCTAAATTCTGTAGTCAGTGATTTGCTATATCTGCCCTGACCATATTTTTATTTTATGTGCACTGGTGTTTTGCCTGCATGTATGTCTGTGTGAGGCTGTCAGATCTTGGAGTTATAGACAGTTATTAGCTGCCATGTGAGTCCTGGGAATTGAACCTAGGTCCTCTGGAAGAGCAGTCAGTGTTCTTAACCTCTCTAGCTCTGACTATATATCTATTTATTCACCTCTCAATCCATTTAGTTTACCTTTTAATTTGAGGAGTTTCAAAGTCAGTTGCAAAAATTGAGTACTTTTAAATAGGCTGCATGCATATCATTATTTGGAGTTCAGTGTTTACTTACTAATTTGGAGGGCTATATTTTGCATATGATGTAGTCAACAGGTATTTACAAGTACTTGTCATAGTTTGACGCTGACATATACTTGTAAGGCAAACTTCTATCAACATCAAAATAGAAAAGTTTTCTGATGGGCTTTCCTGGACAATTTCTGTGCCTTTCTGTCCAGTTCCAACTATTAGTTTATTCTGGTTTTGTTTTCACACAGCTGTGTGTTTTCAGCTTAAAAGGTTTTTAAAGAGTTTTAACTTTATATCTTCCCACCCCCTGCATTGTAGCACTCCCAGAAAATACCCTATCTTCAAAGTGAAATAGAATCCAAAAAAGAAAATGTAAAATTGAATGCTTCAAATCTCATTTTAACATACATTTGAAAATTTATTGGGTACTTTTTTTAGTCTGCTCGAGCTACCATAACTATTACAGACTAAGTGGCTTAAACAACAGAAATGTAGTTTCCCGAAGTTTTGGGAGATTGGAGTTGGGTTTAATTTCTGATGAGGTCTCTTTCTGGCTTGCAGATGACTATTTTCTCTCCATGCCTTCACACCTTTTCTCTGTGTCTGTGCAGTTGGAGCAGGGTCACTAATGTCTCTTCCTTTTCTAATAAGGACCCCAGTTATGGCAAATTAGGGTTCCTGCCCTGTTGACCTCCACTTATGTATGTATCTGTGTATGTATGTATGTATATCTTTGACAAAATCTCACTGTTATAGAGGCTGGCCCCAATAACCTTGGCTCAAGAAATCCTACCTCAGGCTCTCAAGTAGCTGACATTGTAGATGTGCCTGGTTGTGACCTCCATTTAACTTTCATTTTGGAGGGGGTTTGTTCGAGACAGAATTTCTCTGTAGCTTTGCGCCTTTCCTGGAACTCGCTTTTGAGACCAGGCAAGCCTTGAACTCACAGAGATCCACCTGCTTCTGCCTCCCCAGTGCTGGGATTAAAGGCGTGTGCCACCACTGCCTAGCCTTTCATTTCTAAAATGCTTTAGCGTTCACTCCAATATACACAATTTAGCCACACCAGGTATCTACCAGCTACCAAGCTTTAGGAGATACCATGGTGGAAAGGGTATAACATGAGGAGCTTTAAGTGAGGATTCAAACCTGTAGAAGACACTGGAGCTATGAATAAAATGCCTAAGAGCTCATAAAGAAAGAACTCAAGAGGTCACAATTGAATTGGGCCTTAGGTAATACTTGTTGAGTTCTAGGCAGAGGTAATAGCATGTGGTACATTTCCTGTACAGTCATGCACTGCTTAACAGTGGGGATATATTCTGACAAGTGTGTTACAGGTGACTTTATCTTGCACATATATGAACATAATTAAACCTTATATAGGTTTAAGTCAATCCTTGTCATGGCTTCTTGATACAACTGGGATGCAGTAGACATGTCTGTGAAGCTGTGTAAGTAGAAAGAGAATACTCTAATGATGGAAAGTATAGCTCCATAAGTACACAGACCAGTAACAGTCATTTATAACCATTGTCAAGTGTTACACTCTGTACATGATGACATTTGATACACTTTTGTACTGGGCGTGGTGGCTCACAACTTTAATCCTAGCAATTTGGAGGCAGAGGCTGTGGGATTCGTCATTTTTGCGGCTTTGGGATGTCTCCTTTCATGAGTAACTTTTGTGTCCTTCTCTTCTGAATTTAGAATCTAAGCTATGTGCAAGATCTAAACGTGTGTCAGTCCTTTCAAGAACCTGATCCTAAAGTTTCTCTAGACAGAATCTTTGACTTGTACTTTTATCCCCAGATGCTTCTCTCCCACCTCCCCTTCCATATGGGTCATGTATTTAAACCCTCGTTCCTTAGGCCTGACTTGTTCCTGAACACATGTCCTTGTCAATTCCGTGCTTCCTGCCTGCCCCTGTCACTTTGAAGGACCTTCCTTTCTCTCCAGCTGAGACCCAGGTCATATATCGCTTGGACAGAATCAACTCACTGTTCCTTTTCAGAGTGTTTTCTTTCTATTAGGAATATTTGTTCGGGTGCACATAATTGATTTGGGTTGACTTTAAACCCCCAGCCTTTGTCCTAGGTCCTCCTGGAGGTGACATAAGGGCTTTGATGCTTCTTCCACTGGAAGGAAATGGCCCTGGTGAGATGTTTATAGTCTTTTCTTATTCTTTCTCCTTTTTCGTAATCTATAAAATTTAATAACTTAAAATTCTCAATCCTGGGGCAAGTGTGTCATCAGTTCAGATATTATTTTTTATTTCTTTTTAAAACTACTATTGTGTGAATGTGTGCGTGGTGGGAGCGTACAGGCCGTGCACGTGTGGAAGTCCGAGGAGAGTTTGTGGAGTTGTGTCTCCTCCCACCTTTCTGTGGGTTCCAGCATTGAACCAGGTTGTCAGACTTGTGTAACTTGCACCTTCACCTGCTTGGCTCTGTGCACTTAAGCTCCCTGTGATGGTAGAAATGTCCTACATTTGTGCAGTCTTCATGTAGTATTGGTGCTAACATGTAGCTCTTCAGCTTGTTAATATGCTGCTGTAATTGAAGGTTTTAAGAATTATTTATATTTTATCTGTATGGGTATTTTGCTAGCATGTAAAGGGCATCAGGTCCCCTTGGAACTGGAATTAAAGACAAAGGTTAGTTCCCATATGGATGCTGGGGATGAACCTAAGTTCTCTGGAAGAGTAGTCAGTGCTCTTAACCACTGAGCCACCTCTCCAGCCCCCATAACTGAAGGTTTTAAATTACAAATTTCAGTTTAAATAACCTCACATGCTAGTGTCTGCTGTATCAAAAGCCCGACTTTAGATCATAGGTTGGTGATCCACTAGAACACAAGAAAGGAGGAAGATAGTCTACTTGGCAGCCCTCATTTGTAGATTCTGTTGATAAGATTGCAGAAGTAGTGGGTGGGTTCAGGGCTAACAAGATACTTCAGCAGGTAAAGTGCTTGCCCCACGAGCCTTGTTATACCTGAGTTGATTCCCAGAACCTGTATAAACATGGAGAGAACCAAATCCACAAAGCTGTCTTCTGACTACATGCTCACCATGGCATATATGCACCCCCCTACACTAATACATTTTTAAAGAGGTAGATTCATTACCCAATTAATGCAAAGTACCTAATTAATACAGACGAAAATTGTTGTGTAAAGGCGTGAATAGTATGTCCACATTGTTTTATTGGGAGGATTTGTTTATCATGATTAAGTTATAGCCGGTATTCAAATGCAAACGTGGTTAAAGTTCAGCATCAATAAAAGCTCATCAACTGTTAAGCTGCATAATCTTTTGCCTGGATTGCTGTGTCACCCTTCCAGCCAGTCTCCTTACGTCTGTGCTAGTGTCCAGTCCACTCTCTAGGCAGTCCTTTCAGGACACAAATCTGGTCATATAGTTTCCACCATTCTTAGAGCATTTCACTCATTTTCTGTGCTTCTCAGA